TCGCTAATTGAAAAATCCCGATTTTCGACTAAGAAAAAATATCGTAGTATGCCCTAAAACTTTAATAAACAATTCAAATTTTGTCCCAAGGTAGACCTTTTAGTACCTGACATTTAAAAAAAAAATATTGAAATCGGTTTACAACTTTAAATTTTAGGGGGGTGTTTCCATTAAAAATGGTCACACTGTTTAAATACATGACGATAATTACAGAATTATCACGATACCTTTCATGCCACAGTATCAAGTTTAAACTAGAAATTTCGAAATTGAAGTCTAAATATCGAGTTTCAAAGTTGGAATAATGTCTTTCGTATTACATCCATGAATGCACGTAGAATGTTACAGAGCATGATATTTTTGATAAAGAGTGTTGTTTGATAATTGCAGTGAGAACAAATTGAGTAACAGGGGACTTTTTAACTCAGTTTGATTGTTCATTAAATATTGATGACTTTTGTACTTATTGATTTCCAATACTTTCCAAAAAGTCAAGTTTGAACCCTTTTTTCTGAAAATGAAAGAGTTTTGAAGATGATAGGACCGTATGTCTATTCTGGAAACTGTTTCTGTGTTCTTTTATGCGTCCTCTGAATGCCCTTCCAGTTTGACCTATGTAAAACATTGGACCTGAACCACAAGACAACTTATGGACTCCTCATCTCAAGACACATGATCATATATGTCTTTCCAGACGATATCTATCTGTTCACATCATGTGGAAGCTCTTGAAATTAGCGAGGAGGATTGCCAAGGAACCTATAAATTTCACACTTGTACCACTAATAACCGTTACTAAAATACTCAGACTCGTATTCTGTCAAGAAAATGCTTTTGGTCAGATTTAGTCAATATTTGCCCCGAGCAAGCGTTGAGAAAGCGCTTGAGCAATCATGAAGGTGTTATTGAAGGCATGTTTCGTAAAAATTCTTGTATCTATTCGAGGCTTTTGGTGTAGCTTTTAGGACATGATCATTTATGCCTGAAGAAGTTTATAGTTAGACACGTGTTGGAATCAGCCAATGCCACCAAAAATGATATTTCCCCTGAACTCATCGTTATTTACCCACCTTTCCGGTATAGTCTTCTTAGGTCTGGATGCAAACATATCTCCCCCAACGAGCATATTGTTCAACATGGCTAAATGGTTCTCTATGTACTCTCGCACTGGTTCAGCTCTGGGTTTACACCTGTCTGGTAGGCGGTTGAATTTAACCAGCAAATCTTTCAGCACTCGCACCTTGAGAAAAAGTTACAGTGGCATTTTATTGGAACATTTTTTATTGGAACAAAACCGCTACAGGTGTTTCGCTATACATTAGCTTTCTCAGTATGACTCAGTATAAACAGGAAGCCACTGCCTGAGGAAGTTATTGTATAGCGAAACACATTCAGTGTGTTACTGGCCATTTACGATAATATGACAAACTGTACCTTTCCTTCTAAGTTGTCACTTCTGCTGTTCGACTGGAAGATAAAGTTGTCTTGGTTCTGGGAGTCATCGAACTCCACCTCCTCCATTTCCTTTGTTTTGGCCAAGGCGTCTTCAATGCGCACTTTCGTTATAGCTTTGAGATAGTGCAGCAGCTTCGGGGCGAGAGTTTGGCAGGTGGTCGTCAGTTGCAATCTGCCCATTATGTTGGCCATTGCGTTGACTAATTTTTTGCTTTCTTCGTTCGTCACGTCCTGGAGGTTCTCGAATGATTTCTGAAAGAAATCGTGTATTAGTAAGTACTTGATTTAATGGCTGGGATGACCAACACGAGAACAGAAATACTATCTCTTGATGCGCATTTTACTGTTGTGAGAAACGTGTTGGCGATAAACTCATAAAGATTAGGAATTAGAAAGCCAAGACTTTTTCTTCCCAAAAATTGTATTCAATCCTGTTATTTCTAACGAAGGATCACTTACCTTGGGTTGAGGCTTTTTCATGCCGTTGATGAACCTGTCTTTGAGTTTCTTATACCTCTGCATGTGGTCGTAAATGACGTCAAGTATCTTCATGGGCAAATGACCATTGAGAATCTCATCCAGCCTTTCGTACTCTTCGAAAATACTTGTTTCATTATTAATCTGCAGAAAATCACTATACAGTAATCTACACTATGAAAATAATGTAATGTTCTCGTTGTCTTTCTTCGTCCAGTAACCGTGTTTCTGGTTTCACTTCGTTCATTGACACTGGGTAAACCCCAAAATTACCATCCAAGACCACATAGGTAGGCAATAGAAATTCCTACAGACAAAGATACAATTAAAAAGAAAAAGGTGCAACCTTCAGTAAAATCTAGCTCCCTGCCCTGAATCGCACACAATTTTGGAGCATTCAACTGAGGTATTAGGGATAAAGTCGTGTTCACCTTCGATGGAATAAAGCCAGCAACACAGATACTGGACAAAGCTGAGAGGATAACCAAAACACTTCGTTCGTCACCTCAAAACATCAGGCTCTAAACCTGAAGAATAACTTCAACATAACACTGAGAACAGTTCACATTTACCTCTGTTCCTGGAATGGACAGCACAGTAGTTACTGCAATTTTCGATTTGTTGAAGTTTTCGTTGTCCTCACATACGTTGGTCACCTTCACCTTGAGCGTCTCAGACTCGCACTCCTCTTCTTCAGAGGTAGCTGGGCGGGTTTCTGCCCCAGGCGGTATCTTTGATGTTGGAGGAAATATTGTTACTTCATCTCCATTCGCTTTTGCCTTATCGTCAAGGTATAGGTCGATCGTGACCTTCTCATCGAGGAAGTCCTTGGTGTTCTTGTCGTTGAACGTGAAGATCCTCTCCGTGGATATCACCAGAGGATCTACGAGGGTGGCTAGCTTTTCCACCTCGCTTCTCTTCGGATCCGATTTTTGGAAGTAGTCCTTCGAAGCTAGGGGAAAATTGTTCTTCTGCGGGGCTACCTTCTTGGCGGATCTTTTTTTCAGGATCTCCTCATTGATTTGGTCGTTTCTGACGAACTGAGGCCACTGCTGGAATTCTGAGTTATCGAGGAATTTCTGGTTTGGTAAGTTCCTCGGTTGTCTTACCTTGTGAACAGATAATTATTATATGTGATGGAGCTGGTCGATACTCGATGAAAATCCATGAATTATTCAACGAACACTTTATTGTGAGACTTTCATTGAATGCAGCATATGTTTCGTTATACGATAGCTTCCTCAGGCGTGTTCATACTCATGGAAACGCTTGAGGAAGCTGATACGAAGTGTCCAGTGAAAATGTTACGTTATAGTTTTACTTGAATAAAATAATTATTGAAGAATTGTATTTTATTGAAAATAAAATAAATATTTCATATTGAAATTCATAACATTAATCTCTTTCAACGTCTCTGCATACCGGTATTTGGTCTTATAATTTAATGCACACTGTAGTATAAGCCAGGAAAGTAGTTGTTTTTCTGGAGGTATTAGCCTGGATACTGATTGTTATTCGGAATATTCATTTTTCAATTCAACTCAAGTATTTTTGTATTTTCATTCGAAAAGGAAGAAATATTTTTGTATTATCAGAAAGATAGTAAATATTCAATTCTTCAAAGTCTGGATACCAAACAGAGCTTTTCCAAATATTGGCATGATCGTTATCAACTACTAAAAAGTAATCTTACATTGCTTTGAGGGAGCTTGACTGAAGGATTTATCTTCTCAGGGGCCTTCTTAGTTTTGTCATCAACTTTATTCACAGTGGGTTGTTTATCCTCTTTTTTCGGCGGCTTCATCTTTTTGTGTAAGTGCCTACCAAAGCCTACCAGTTTCTCTTCTTTGGAATGCAGACCAACTTTGCTCGCGTTGGTTTTCTCTTCTGACTTCTTATCTTTAACATTCACAATCTCGTCATAATATTCTTCGTCGTCCTCAGCTTCAGTTGTGGTGACCACAGGGTTGGCGAAATCATTGTCGGTCTTCTTAACCAGCTTAGAGCTGTTCTTCTTCCTCTTGGAAGTCATAGAGTCCTCTTCGTCTCCATAGTCGCCTTCCACAGAGTTCTTGTGCAAGTTCTCATGGCGTTTGGTGGTGCCTTTGGCAGGTTCCTCGTAATCTTCTCTCGGGCTTTTTAGATCCACGTCGTAGACGTATTCTACGGATTTCAGTTGTCTTCGAGAATACGTGGGATAGTCATCAGACTGTTGGTTGCTAGGCCAGTGATTAGTTTCCTCACGATGTTGCTTCGGCCTGCTCTTGTGATTTTTCTTTGGGTGTTTTTTCTTGTGCTTGGGCTTACGAAGTTTTTTGTCATGAACTATTTGGTGGCGTGGAGAATCGACTCTTTTTTCAGCTACGTTGCGGAAAGATTCGGAATTTCTGAAATTTTGTCGTAGACAAAAATGATATGAGTCATTGCGATCAATGTCTTATGAAATGATAGGAATATTAACTTCCTTATGGATAGCAAAAGATTACTTTAGCTAAATGATAACAGTGAGAATATTGATGATAACAGGATTATTGAATGTTGAGAAATGATGAACATAGTATTATCTCCGAACCGTATTACGCGGTCAATTTGTAGAACAAACTTTAAAACTTGTCCTTCATTATATATAACTGGATGACTAAGGGCATTAGAATATCATGTAAAAATAAAATGAAACTCTATCAAAAGGAATTAAAACAACTTATATCAAATGAACAATACCGACAATACTGCAAAATACTAAAAAATGTTATCAAGAAGTCGATGGTAATATCTGACAATCAATATATTTCAAATGCTACAAATGAAGGAAATGCAACATGGTCACTAGTTCAAAAATACACTGGGAAAGAAAAAAATGAAAGCGACACAATTTTAAGAAAGCTAGATACAGAAAACGGAAATAAAAAACTGGTTCTAGATAAATTAAATAGTTTTTACATAAATTAATGCTCGGAACCTGCGAATTCAAAATTAAATAACCCTGCTATTCTCCTTTCCAAATCAGCAAACAATAAAATAAATAATCCTGCTAGCTTACCATCAGCGAACCAAACTCTATTTCTGTAGTAAAATATTCGAAAAAGCCCTATATAATCGTCTTATAGCCTATCTAGAAAAGTTTGAGTTATTGAGTGACACCCAAAATGGCTTCCGAAGAGGCAAATCTACCACACGAGCGATATATCAAGCCTTGCGCACAGTGCTAAATAGTCAAAGTGAAAGAAAACACACTTGTCTAGATCTGTCAAAAGCTTTTGACAGTGTCGACCATAATATACTAATGGGCAAGCTTAATGCCTATAGCCGATTTAATAAAATCATATTTGCAAAGTAGAACACGAAGAGTTGTTGAAAAATACCACCTCACTAACGAAAACATACAGTCAGATGAATTTACAATATTGAAAGGAGTTCCGCAAGGATCAATCTTAGGGCCGTTGCTATATATTCTGTATACCAATGAGCCAGCAAATACTATTGATTTCAATACTGTGCAGTTTGCAGGTGACACAAGTGTAGTAATCAAGGAACATAGTATTGAAGAATTAGACAGAATCGTGTTTGAAGCACTGAATGCATTGGAACATTGGTTCACACATAATCACTTAAAGTTGAATATAAACAAAACACAAGTAATAAAGTTTTTCCCAACAATTAACTGTATGTGAATACTCAGCCTCAGATGGTAGATCAACAACATCAGCTTGCAAAAGTACAAAGTTCTTGAGAATTGAGCTTGATCTTAGATTAGACTGGAAATCTCACCTAACCTCAATAATACAAAATATTGAAAAATACTGCTATGCTCTAAGAGTGCTAACAAGATCAATAGATATAAACGCTGCTATGTGTGTCTACTACGCACAAACTCACTCAAGGATCAAGTACGGTTTAATATTCTGGGATGCTTCGACAGATGTCCCCAAGATATTTAAGATGCAAAAGCGATGTCTTAGAATTATATTTAACTATAAACAAACTGATAGTTGTAAACCCTTATTTATAAAAAATAAAATACTAACCTTATACAGCCAGTACATTCTTGATACTATACTATTTGTTAAGAAATGATTAAAAAAACGAAGTAAAACACACTCGAAATAGACTTTTCATGAATTTCAATAAATTTTCAGTTGAGTCCCACGTTTTTTCTGTATAATATTTTTCAGTTTTCTTACCGCTCTGACTCCAAGCTGAAGGCTTCTTCATTACAACTACCCTGCTGGCAGCGCCTTGCTCCATTCGAATTGATATTTCCTCTGAATCTTTGAAATTCGCCTGGTACCATATCAGCTGAAGGTTTGAACTGAATTACCGGGATCAGTTTTCTCTTTGGAATAAACCTATCTGGGTTTTCATCCTGGTGAACTTTGTGAACATTTCGTTCTGGATAATCCTCAACTACCTCATCTTCAGAATCTGGTTGTTCCTCCCGTTCTTGACGCTCAGGAATGTCTTGAGAATCGCATCCAGTTTTGTCAGTTTCACATCCATAACCACCATCTTTGTTTTCCTCTTGGGTTCCATCTCCACTGTTAGGCATATTTCGTAGAGGATTTTTTTGATGAGTGGGCCGTTCCTCATGGAGAGGAGGTTCTTTTCGTGTCAGATGTCCTTCACGCCTAGCGTGTTCCTCGCGAAGAGGATGTAAATCTACGGCGCATTCTTCATGAGCGAGGTGTTCTTGATGGAAAGGGTTTCTGTCGTGAGACGGATGTTTTTCATGGTAACCAAGCGGGTTTTCTTGCTTTGGATGTTGTTCTTCACCCTCTAATATAGTTACAGATTCAACTTTTGTTGAAACTAGCCGGTCGTTCAGATTTTGGTTCACTTTCTGATATTGGGTTAATGTCACATTTTGAGTGCGATTTTTAGGAATTTTTAGTTTCTTTTCGCTTGATCTGTCCATATTTTCGAATGGAGGATTGGACAAATCGAGATTTGGAACTGCGATATCCTCAGTTCTTGAAGGTGGTTCTTCTTCGGGTAGAATTACTTCAGGTGCAGGTTCTGCATTGTTTTCTGGGAGACTGTTATCGAAATTATAATCTTCCGGCGGAACTTTAGGTCCAAGTTCTCCTCCTAAGAGGCGAAGAGATAATATTAGTTAAAAAATAATAGAATTTTATATTCAAGTTCGAAGGAAACGGACAGATGGGCTTTCAATTGTAACAAATCAAGGATCAATCAAATTCAACTGCTCTGAGATGATACGAGAGTGAAAATGATTCAGTATTATTATTTTTTTCATCTATGAATATAGATATGCTTTTGAGAAAGATATGAGTGAAAGACTTTTTTTTTCCATTCATGGAGGGGTCCAACGAAATACCAATTGAACATATTTTGAAGATCCTCAGATCAATAAATCAAAATATATCAGAATCTTTCTCGATATACCAGCGATACAATAGTCATTTAGGCAAAAAACTACAAAAGTACCACTAAGAGACATTTCCTTTGGTACACATTGAGAATAATATATTGAGTAGAACAGCAAGCTACTCATTTCATTCGAATTTCAATTTAACAGAGCTTTGAAAAACTTTTTTAGTTTATCTTTGACGTCAGTGTATTCGCAATTGGTAACATCTTTTACAAGAATCAGTTGGAAAAGCTAGGTCAGATCCTGGCTTCCTCTGACTTTTTTTCTCCTTCTAGATGTTGGTTTCAGGCCAGCCTGAGAAAGTCTCAGATATTTGACCTCCCTTGACAGATATATCCCTTGACCTCAGTATTTAAGAGGTCTCAGTCCCTTCATTTTCGTCCTTATGATTAATACTACTATATTTGCCCTCGATTAGGATGTCTAATTTATAGCTCAGGAGACATAATAGTTTGTCCAATATGAAGTTCCCTAACTGAGGAGAGTTTCAACTCCAAAATACATCATTAATACCAACCTGAATTATTTTCATTACCAGGAAAACCTACTGGATCACCATCATCTTTCGAGCAATTCCCCATTACTCCTCGCCCATCGAAACTACCTACTTGGTCACCAGCTAATATTTTCTGTTCCGTTTCCAGAGTTTTGACGCCACCTCCTACTGGTTGAACTCCAGATTCTATACCAACAATGCTAATGGATGTAGTATTACCCGGTGCTTTGTTCTCCATTGCGTTCGATTTCACATCAGACTTGCTATTTTTGCCTTGTACTTCGTTTTCGTCTTCAGATTTATCCTCGTTGACCATATTTCCACAGTTCTGACTCTCACAGTCGTCTCTTTTTTCATTGCTCAGTTCGACCTGGCCTTCTAGGGTTTCAGACTCTCGCTTGTTTGGGGTATTATTAGCGTTGATAAGAATAGCCTTAGGTTTGTTTGCTGAATTGTCATTATCCACCACAACGCTATTGATCGACTCAAATCCATCACTTTCTGCTGGTCGCTGAGGATTCGGTGGGGCTTTTTTATCCCAAATATCTTGAGCAAAGTCGATCCCCTTCTGAAGCTGGTTCTTCTCAGAGATGGTCCAGAAATGACTCATGTCCTTGAAGCCGTTGTTGTTCAAGCTTCCCGAACTGGTTGTCTCCACAACCTCTACTGGAACTTGGTAGAAGTTAGGCTCAGGTAGAGTCACTCTGTAAATGAGTGCAGATTTGGCCAGCTCGTCTCTAGCGATGCTGCTGTCGGTGTTGAGATTCTCGTTGACGTTGAAGAGGTTCTTGAAATTACTGGAGTACTCTTTATTAGGGACAGGAACGTTGTCCAGGTCTATCGTACTTCTTGGGGTGAAAATCTTCAGAGGGCTCTCGAGCAGCTGCAGTTTGTTCTCGTTCTTTTCCAAACCTCTCGCTACTGCCGAAGCGATGTATTCGTCTCTGTAGCCTGGATCGTAGCTATCTTGATCCGGAGACTGGATGTTCAAAATGATCGACTTGGGTTGTTGGTCGCTGTCCCGGTAGTGCTTCACCATTTTTCCATCCTTCAGGACGTCTATCTGGATATCTCTCTTGTTGATACTGTTGCTGAACCTGCCAGGATATTTCTCTCCAGATCGTTTGAGTTCTCCTATCGTGCTTTTTGGATTCACCGCAATGTTGTGTCTTCGTTCGAAGAATGTGTTACTATTGGAATGTCTTCTTAGCCTTGGTGGCGTGTTTTTGTGGTGCACGGACATTTTCTTTATTCTGTTGGAAGTTTCCGGAGCTAAGGCGGTATTTTTACGTTTGTAGGTGTGGGGGTAGATGTCGTTCTTGGGACCATAATCTAGGTAGTCGTTGCCTTCCAAATTCTCGAAAAGTTGCTAGAAAAAAGTGCAATTAATGAAACAACTTTCATTGAAACAATACGCTGAGTATGAAGTGGTGGAAACATTTTTTCTCACCCCTTCGTCTTTATTTTCTTCATATTCGTCTGAGTTTAAACCGAATTTGGAAGGATTTTCGGCTATATCTCTTATCAATCTGAAGTCCTTTCTGTATCTCTGAACATTCGCCAGCCATGCGTTGAGTTCTTTGGGCAATCCAGGTTTGGGTTTATAGTACTAAAATAATTCAATATTCGAGTTAGAGGAGCCTACTACAATATTTCAGTGAAGTGTTTCAGAAAAATTGACATTAGAAGTTTGAATCATGGATGTTAGAATAGTGCATGATATTATTGACAAGTGATTTCAATGAAATACTTCTTGAAAAAAGCGAATCAATCATTTATTTAGGCAGCCGTAGTGCATTAGAAATTTAAAATCAGCTTCATCTTAAAAGATGGCTCTCTTACCGAGAATTTTACGAAGCCTTCCAATAAAATATCTTTTCTTAACGTTATCAGCATAAAGAAGGAAGATATTGCGCTCATTGATTATTTATACAATGTAATGGGTTTCAGGTCTTAAAGAGTTATATTACTGTAGTTACAGGTGGATTAGGAAAGGGAATTTTAATGTACGTAAGAGCGCTCGATATTTATCGAGCTTTCTTAAAAATTCAACTCCGGAAGAAGTTTCACTTGTATTCATAGCAAATTATTCAAGACACCAGTGATGCACCTAACGCTCAGCAGCTAAACGAACGAATAGATATTTATTATTCTTCTGCATATAAGCATAGTTCTGGCCGCTGACACTGGCGTGCGACTCCAAATACTCCAAATCATAGTTTAGGCACCAGTTTTATAGACACGTTGAAAGAAGTTTACCACAGATTTGTTGCTATTTAATGAATTATTGTTTCCATAACGTGTTATAGAGAAGATTCTTGAAAAATACTGAAATATAACATAAACTTTGAACTTTTGAAAATATTTTTTTATTTCAGTTACATTTAAAATTGAATTTTAGTATTTCGAAGGATTGAGTGGAATTTAGACGTTTTGACATTACAATCCATTTTGCATCAACAGTACAACTTTTTCCCTTTTCTTTAGTTGGATAGTCTGTATGCAAATATTCATTTTTCTTTATATATATTCATCACTGAATTTTTTTAAATTTGTTTTCTTATTTCTCTGTGCGATGAAAAGTTCCAAAAAGTTAGAATTCTTCCTCTTCTTATGTTTTCTTAAGCTTCTCTTATACAAATACTCTCTTCGTCCAATTTATTTTCATTGACCTAGATTTCCATACTTTCGTGTTACTATATTTCATTAAAATAATGATATTATCTCAACGATTCCTTGTATTTGTTCAGTCTCTTCAGTTATTTCCCTAGTCCTCCATATTTGTTTCTTGCATTTTATTTAATATTGAGTTTTTGCTCTAATACTTTTTTACGGTTACTGTAATGAAGTTGACGATTGTCTAAATCGTCTTATTCTTATATTTCCAGCTCTTCCTGTTCAAATCCTTTTGAAATTGAAGTTTGAAATGTATTCATGATTTCATTTTATTTGTAATACAGCATTTCTCATTTAGTAATTTATTTACTGATGAGTCATAACTGCTTCTAGTTCCTTCTATTTGCTTTCAATTTGAGTTATATTACATTTTATATATTGAATTTCTCTTCGTGTCATCAGATAATAAAGAGTTCTGTATATGCGCATAAATTTTCAATTGATATGACATTTATTATGTTTTATTTCTTAGTTTATTTTTTGATTCCTCCCAATTTATAGACTGCTATTTATCCCTTTGGTATTCATGACCTGCTTTTGAATTCCTCAACTTTTGCTGTTCTTTCATTCCCTTTTAGACCCCCCTATTTCCACTATATTGATGACATTCATCTCATATTCTTCATTCAATCACTATTCAAATGATTTGAAATCTTTCCACTTTCTCCCTCGATATTTTCTTTGACATTTTTGTGCATACGGTTAAGAATATTTGTACCAGATGAGTCGTTTTGTAACTTCTATTTTGCATTCGTCCTTTTTCCATGCATTTTGAAAATTTTCAGCATTTTTGAAGCCACGTAAAACAGACATCTATTTTGTCTCTTTTCCTTCCGTTTGACATATACATTTCTGATATATTTTACAAAAGGTTTTCCGTTTTTCCGGTGGTTTTCTACATTTTTTTGTTTGTCGATGGAGAAACTGGATGCCGAAACATTTCTTTTCCAAAAACTAATACTATAAGTGTGATTTTTCTTCTGTATGAGGCTGAAATAATAAGTGTACCTGTCATTAAAAAACGCATTCGTCGTAAAGACGTATTCCATCTCACAAAAAGACTGGTATGAATTTCTTTATAGTATGTTCAAACATCAATAAACTTGATCGAACAAATTTTAATGTGAATTTCTAACGCTGGCACCTAATTTACTTTTCCCAGCGCGATATTCTATGCTACATTCAATTCCAAAAGACCTCGAGGTATTAGCATTGCTTTGTATCACGTAACCTACACGAGTTTGATATATCTTACTCCATTAAACCTATTCGTTTTGAATAAAGCCCTCAGGAGTTCGACTGTAACCGATACAATCTGTAATTAATAATCTGAGTATAATATATCTATGCATATTGTTCTGTATAAGTGATAGATAGATTGGAAAGGCAGATAGATAGATGACGTCGTTTACAATGAAATTAATTGGTGAAGGTCAGTGGTGAAAAAATTACGTTGAAAGATCATATGTACATATAAAATGATAGAAAAATTATATGAAAATGTATATAACTGATAACAAATATATTAAAAGTGTTTGCTTGTTATCTATACTGATAATTTCGTATAATAACTGAAATGTTTCGAATAAGATTTTCAAAGCGACTTGGTTTTCAACATCGATACGCTCCCAAGTTTGCCTTTTGCATACACAAAATTTTTCGACGTATCAAAAGAGGTCAGCCAGTCTATACACCCTTCTTGTAGGGCATGCATTCGATTAGCCCTCAGAGGTGCTGCGTCCCTTTCTCGCGCCTGCAATCCTATCAATTATTAAAGAGGCGAGTCTTAAGTAAAACAATAATTTAGCCGAGCGGTAATAGGAAAATAAAAAGCTGAGCAAAGCGCCCTCCGAACCCAGTCCCGATCTTTATGGCGACGTTCCTGCAGCCGGATCAGAATTAATATTCTGCATTTTTAGCAACAGATGTTTCTCGCCTGTTATTTTTGCATAAACATCGGAAAAGACTTCTTATTCTGGCCGGAAAGTTTACGCAAGTGGATTTGCTTTGAGTTACGTCCGGGTTTGGGGTTGGAGGGGGGCGGAACGGGGTTGAAAGAAGGGGGAGGAAAGGGTTGATCTTGGGGAGAAACTCGTCATATGTAACGGAATTTATTTACACAAGTTACAGCACAATGTTATGGAAAGTAATGAGTTGGAAACAAATTGAGATAACTCACAAAAGGGGAACCTTGAGCGAGAGATGCTAAATTACAAGCCAAAGAATTCATTTCATCTCCTTCCGGTTTATTGCATTCACAAGTTCTTGTCATAACTCTATTCTTTTACTCTATATCCACATGCTTCTCGATCTTTCCTTTACCCCACAGCGGCGACACATACTTTTTATCCGACTTTCCCTACGGGAAGGCACTTTGAGGTACATTTTGCGTTTATTAAATCAACTCGAACAATGAGCTAATGCCTTCCAGTTTTCGGGTCGGAAATTAAAGCGTTTCATCACATCGGCCGGGGATCGATGTTCCTTTCTTCGATGCGATAATGTTTCGTCGTCTTGAATACCAAATTCCCGATCTAAGGCTAAGGTAAAGGAAAAAGTAGCGCACGTTTACGTTTACCTGGAGTTTCAGAAAGAGAATGGAGCTTGCTTTTCATCCTGTGTGTTTCGTTCGCGAGAAATTCAGCGATTTTAGGTATGACAAATTGGAAATTCGGAATGGCAAGGGCAGAAAGTTTGAAAATTTAAATTTGCTGGAGGAGATACTTCAAAAACTCAACTTCTTTGAGTGAGAGAACATGAACATTCTAATTTACTATGTGAAATTTGGACTTCGAATTTCCTACAAATATACTCTAATTCAAATTTGATAACTGAGATAGTTATTAACTTGAGATGACCAGATTATAGAGCTAGAAAAATGCTAGCGAAGAAAGTCCTACAACCCAAACTTGCTAAGTAAAATTATTTGAAAGTTTATAAGGGAAATAAGCTAGAAAATTGAACTTTACTATTGCTGAGAGCTGAAAATTGAGAGATAAATGGCTGATGCTTGAAACATCAAATTTTCTAGTAGAGAAAGCTCAAAAACAGAAAATTTCTAGGTGACATAATTCAAAACATCAAGTCAACAGTAGAGTGTTCAAAAAACAAGGTGATCTTCAAGTTTCGCGGGCTACGCAAAAGTATATTATATCTGAGGGGCACTTCATCGAAGGTGACAAAATATAAACTAGAAACAAATTGCTAGTGGAGAAAGCTTGAATTTGCTGGGTGTTCAAAAATAGTAATTAAAGTTTATTGGTTGAGGAAATAGTGAAATTCAAATCAGTTAAAGAAGGTTAGAATTTTTAAGAAGATTCCATCTGGGTTATATTAGTTGATAGATATAATCTGAAATGTAATGCAGATAAATGAAGTAATTATCATCCACCAAAGTGACTGACTGGCAAATATTTTTAGTTCAAAAAATAAAATTTTATGAGTGACAAGTTAATGAAAAATCTTGACCGCCAACAAAAATATTACAAAAAAAGAACACAATTGCTGCTTCTCTCAGTTTCGTTCCGAACATAAACCTGAAAATGAAGACGACTATTAGAATATTGTTCCAAATTGAACAAATGAAAACTCAATATTTCTTTGAAATAATTTTCTACGCAAGTGAATTCAACACAGAGGGTTTTTCTATCCTTCAGTGTACATGAATACTGTGTATTTTTGAGTGGAAATCAGTGACCACCTTTTGTGGAATTCTTTTCTGTTCTTATTTTTATGATTTTCAAAAAACTTTTCTCACAGTGTGAAAGTATAGTTCTTTATAACTGTGTACTGTATACTGTGTACAAATTTTCTTGTACAAATTGAACTCTGAACATTTTAAAGATTGTATCTAGTGATAATATTCCTCAAACTGCAAAGAGTTGAAGAAATAGAGCTTCAAAGAAGTTAAAGCTTTAGCAAGAGGTTTGAGGTCATTGC